CGTGCTGTCCTCCCACACTCCTTCACATCTCTTCAAGAAGGTATGCATGTCTTCCCCCTGCTCTTTCTCAGGCTGGTGAGGGCATGTAAACTGTGTGTTGTCGGGTAGATGTTACGAATAGCAGCCCAATAGCTCGACCTGATATTGTTGAATGAAGTGTCATCTGGAGAGTTAGTGCATTGGGCCTTGGAATCTACTGCTCTTGCCTCTAGTCTTCCTTCTATGCGTCTAAGCAGTGCCCTCATGTCTCCCAAGCACAGGTGGTCTTGGCCAGTGTACTTCTCCAGATCTTTCACCCACTTCTGACCTCCTTGGGTGAGTGGAGGTAGCTTTGCCACTAATGATTCCATGTCCCTGTGAGTCCATGGTTGGTAGTCAAATCCTCCTCTTCCAGCCGCTATCAATGGCATGACGCTATGTACAGTGCCCCTGGTCTGTTGTTGCCGTGTGTCTTCCGGACATACTGAGTGTCTGCTGGTTACAGAATGTGCACTGTCGCTGTCATCGTGTCCTTGTCCTTTGTAATTTTGTTCGTCTGGAGAGTAGTTTGTTCGGGCGTGTTCTTTGAGAGTCTTCCCATCTTTGAGTTCTTTGTTGTTCTTGTTCTCTCCTTTCTCTCTGGTGTCTGTCTGCCATCATGTCTTGGAATCTTTCGTCTTCTGTCCTTTTTCTTTCTGCCATAATGTCATTATGGGCTTCATCTGCCCGTCGTCTTTCTTCTGCGGAATGTGTTGTTTCAGGAGAGTAACCAGTTCGGAATTGTTTCTCTTCTTGTTCTTTTTCCCATCTTTTTCTTTCTTCATGTTCTTGTCTTTGTCTTTCTTCCTCTCTTCTTTTGAGTTCTTCCATTCCTCTGCCGAGTTCTTCCATTCTTCTGTTGAGTTCTGCTTCCATTCTTCTGCTGAGTTTTTCCATTCTTCTGCCGAGTTCTGCTTCCATCAGCTGGTTGACACTGGATAGGATTCTTACCTCATACGCCAATTCTTTCACATTTGGGGCTTGAATTGAAGCTTGGTGAGAAGGGTTGTTCTCTGATATGTCGGGAGGAGACACTTCGGTCAGGCTTGGATACGGCTTGGAGTTTGGATAACTGGAGCCCTCTTCTGTTGTTTCTGCTGTGTCTTCATTTACTGGCAGATCTTCTGCTTCTACCATATGTAAGCTGTTTGTCAATCCTTGGCGGACATCTTCCAGATAGAGTACCAGTCTTGTAACTCTCCCTTTTCTTTTTTCAGCTCTGTTCATAGCAATTTTTTCAGGTCCATACCAAGAGGGCCGTCCGGCTTTGATCCATGCTTCTTGCTGTTGTAGGTATTCAGCATTCTCATATTCAACTACAGCTTTTCTATGGCTTCCGTTGGTCCAGGTTGATCATCTGCTGGAATCAATCCTCTCATTTGCCACTGCTTGAACAGTTCCTCTACTTGGTTCTGTGTCTTCTGTCTTTTACTGGAGCTGTCATAGCATCTGACCAGATGTTTACCCTCTCCTTAATATCTGCAGTTGAGCCTGGCATTGTGAATGCTCTTAACTTAGTGTCTTTTGGTGACATGTTTTCTTAAGTACTTGGATAATATTATTAAGTTATCAAAAATGAATTACTAATCCTCTGAATAGTACCTTTGTATTATTTATAAAGATATCCTATGTCATCTGAACTTAACTTTGAAATCTGGTAATTTTTTTTTTTTTTTTAAACAGAAATTGGAAAAACGAATTCAAAATTTTGAAAGTAAACTGTGTACAGTGTATTATGAAGTTTATGAAATTATGCAAATGTAATAAAATGTGTTAACTACAATACTTCAAGTCAGATAAACCACATGTAATCTTTATCTGTGTGTGGTGAAGAATGTATTAACTGTAATACTTATTATGTCCGCTAGGGGAGCTGTTTTATTTTTAACCCCTTTCAAATGTATCAACTAGTACTTCCGGTTCATAAACCTACTTCCGGTTTATTATTCCCAAATAATAAAGTTCAAATTACTTTCTTTGAAAAGCATGAAAAACAAAAACAACTTAATCTACTCTCAATGTTCATCTACACCATCCCTGTGTATTTAATCAGTAGTTACCGGTTGTATCTTTTCTCAAACTATTTCACCACCTAGTAATGCCAACTGGCTAGCTAACTAGCTTAGCAGTATAGCATTAACCTCATGCTCTGGGGGAAGGGGAGGGGAACAATGGGAACATGTGATGCAGATATAAAAACCACACTGCTTGAAAAACTCCAATACAAAACAAGACAATCTTCATTTATCTTAGCTCTAAATTCTATAGATGCTGACCTTAAAAAGCTGATCTTATACCAATCTTGGTGCAATGCAATTCCTGCCTTTTTTTGTTGCTAAATTACATACTTCTGGTGTCGTGGTTATTTAAACATTCCCTGATAAACGTTATTCAGCGTCAATAAATGAGTGCTATCCCAGTGGTGTTTAGTGTACAACATCACATGTCATTTCACCTTCAATTCACGGTTTCAAACGTTTAGCCACATGCTAATGCTAACCGGAAATGAAGGATTTTCAGAATAAAACTGCTTTTAAGCTGACGGAATGTTTTAAACATAAATTGATGCCATAAAACATTGATTTTAATTTCTAACACATGTCAACCATCCTCTTAAAGTACTCTGTCAACAATATCAGTCTCATAAGAAAGGTGTTTTAAAAACGCTTATTCAAATAGCAGAGGAAACATGCATTGTACTCAGGAGGGGACATTGACAGAGGATTACTCAAAAAGTACACAGTAAAAGTACTTCATTAGTACTTGTGGTACTAGTACTGAGTCCAACAGTATCAGTTTTATTCAGAACGTATGGTAAAAAATATTTGTATCACTCATTGAATATAGCAGGAAGAAAATGAAGAGCAGCTGATTGACCGAGTGCAGAATCGCTGTATAGTTTAAATCTCTTTAGTTACAATGTTTGTCCATTTTAGACAAAGCTTATTATATTTACAGCCCTAATAACATTCATTTTCTGGGCTCAATATGTGTCTTGGCTGTTTTCGTTGTGATCGCTAGAAACACGGCTGTCATCAGGCTTGCAAGGGCTGTTCCATGCTCTGCTCAACCTCCCGCCTTCCCAATGACTCAGTAGCGCCCCCTGCTGCCGTGGAGCATGTGTGAGTGAGCATGTGTGAGAGAATAGAGTGGGCGAAGTCCCTCCCCTTCCGGTTGAGCCCCATGGGACCATTATTTCGGAAAAGTTATGCATTGAAGTCAATGGAGAGAGAAAGATTATCTTTCGATCCCGTTTGAATTGTGCCACACGAATTACACATATGATGTTTGTCAATTAAAAAGATAATTTTGCAAGTCAAAAAAAATAAAATGTGTCGTAAAACTGTGAAGGTACACATTTGTTTGTGTGAAACGCTCAATGAACTACATCTCTGGTCAACAACACACGTCACCACAAGATGGCCGTCACTACTGTCTTGTCAACACAACGATTGACTATCCTCACTATCACCACAAGGAAACACGGTCCTGAAGAATGTCATGCAAAGCTGCCTGCCTGCCTTCCTTTGATTCTCTCTGAACTGCCTGGTCGTTTTTAATGTTTAATGTCAACCATTTGTGCAGATAGCATGAAGTAGAGAAGATCACCGATGCTAACGTTTAGCGTTAGCATTTTCTCCCCCGGGCTTAAATGGTGTATTATAGAAATGATCACACCGGTGACAGTACTATTCAAAGGGTTCAACGAAATATGACTACTACTCTTACTGTTTAAACATTTTGGGTTACTTAATGTTACTTCAATGTTAAGGCTAATAAAAATGACAAGGCTGTAATGCTAACTAACGTGCTAGCTACTAGCTAGGGTAGCTAACTTGATCAAGCCACTCCTGTCCTTTCATCAGACGGGAAGCAAAAGAACGAGCAAGACCCATTGCTGGTATAATAACAACCTGGTACTAAGCCACACAGGCATCTTGTTAAAGTTATCTTATCTTAGCCAGCGCCATATAGATAGATTTATCTATTGCGCTGTCTTAGCTATCTCTTAGTGGAGGAAAACAATTGTGTGAAGGCGAGGCAGCAGAGGAGACGGTATCTTGAGGACAGGAAGGAATGTGGTTGTAGCCCAGAGAGCAGTCAAGCGTTGGTTAGTATGTCTTGAACATTCTGCAGTGTCTGCATTTTATTCATGAGGAACACATTAGAAATAAATCTAACTATAACATTTGTAGTACATTGTTCTATGAAATATGTGTTTCCAGTGATTTAAAACCTAGGGAGACTACGTGATTACAGTATCTATTACATGTCCTGAACTAAGTTAATTTCAGAAAGACCCTTAGATGTATTAAATACAAGTTAATGTGTCTAATCGTTTTTATGTCAGATAATTGTGTGTTTACCAGGCTTAAATAAGTGTAGTTTACAAAATGTGGATTCAAATTGCAAGACTTGGAAATTCTGCTTTTTCAAAGTGAAACATTTTCCATTAATGGCTATACGTGATGGTTTAAAAAAAGATACAAAAAATGAATACAAAAAAATCTGAAGTTCAACAGTTGGTACAGCTCCACAATTAGATGTTTGTCCTCATGTTTAAATAGCAGTTTGGACTTTAACCTTTTTTATATTGGATAGAAGAGGGAGGAAGGTGGGGTAAGAAAGGAATGCCAGTACATTATACAATTGGCTTCAAACCAACAGGATGGTTTAATCAGAGCCTTCCAAAGGAATGATGAAGGCAAAAGCATTGATGGGTTTAAAAAAGTAAAATAGGTAGTTTGTTTGATTCCCTGTGTTTTTTTCTTCCTTTCCTCTCCCCCACTCTTTCGTGGTATTCCTTCCATAGTACCACAAGACCATTGAGGCAGTGTATTCGGTGGAAAAACTCTGTCGAGACTCTGCTGGACCTGCTGCAGAGATAACCGTGAGAAAGCTGGAGATAAGTGGCAGAAAGGGCGGCCAGCATCTTCACAAAGGCCTGCTTCCTTCTTGCTCTCCTCCTGCAAGACAAGTACCCGCGTTGTGGTCCGTAGCTCCTCTGACATAAATACTGTTGAGAATATGTATTATAGAATTCACACAACCAAATTCTAATCTGACAGAAACTGCTATTGTAGTTTTGTAATAAATGTGAACTCTCTTATTTATAGGAGGTTATGAAGCTACCCAAAGTGTTGGATAGGCTACGCAGTATCTACCGCCTCACCGCTCGCAAACACAAGATGGACGCTGAAAGAACTGTTACGAAACAGAAAATGAACGCATCAATCAACGGGAGCTTTTTCTTTCAAACGACGCCTCGTAAATCCCGCCCTGTGCCAAAGTACGTTTTTAATGTGTCTATGTACAGTAAAGTATTTGTCTGAGATTCACAGATTTCATGTGTTTTGCAGTGGTAACTGACATCCTGTTTGTTTTTCAGATTTGCACCGGATTGGGTTCTCAGAAGGGACAAGTTCAAAGATATTGTGGATCCTCTCCGGGCCATTCAGATGGTGGCAAACACACTCTCTATTGTGTTGTAAATACAGGCTTTTAAATCTTCATTTTATCATCTCATTCTTGTGCTTCAGAAAATATAGTTTTTTGTATTGTTTGAGTTTTTTTTTACTATTGCATTTCCATGATTTCCATGTAAATATTAAAATGGATATGTTTCTTATACACGGGCCAGTTTCATCTATCTATCTAATGGGTTTTATACTGAAATGAGGCTGAACAGGTGGGTGTTTAAATGAAATTCAGGGTAACTTGCTCCCAGGTGGGAAGTTTTAGCCACCTAATGTAATTGTTAGCACTGTTACACACTCTACAATGAGGTATGTTAAAGCATTGGTATAATTAATTATATATACAATGATGTTCATCATTGTATTAAGATTATTACATCTTTTAAATAGCTTCCCTATCATTAGACCTAAATATCTCCATGTCAATGCAGAATTGTATAACTAGACAATTATGGCATTCTAATTTTAATTGGATGGTGGTTAAAGTCTTAAATATGTTTATAAGCTTTCATGTCATATGAACTATTTCGTGTAAAACAATGCAGCATTAAATTACTAAATAGGATCTGAAATCTGCAGTTTTTAAATTGAAAATAAGCTCCTATATTATGGGAACTAATGACTTGAAATCAATTCAATATCATATGACTAAACTAAACATTGGATACATCTCTTTATCTTTTATATATGTTTAATGTTTTAATTTAATTGTATACTAATATCTTTGAAAAATAAGCTGTTTCTTTATTGAAAAGTCAAATTTCTTTGCAATAGCTTTCATTTCATGAGACCCATTGACTTCCAATCCATACCAGATTTTATTTCTACGCTGGCTAAATTCTAATCGTTTCTTTTTGCTCATGGTATGCTACAGACTGTATTTAGGAGGCAGAAAAGAGACAGAGATGTGTCATGTATGCTTTATTAACATTTATACAGTTGACAACATCAAAGAGGAGACGGAATCAGTTCATAACTCTGCATAATCAGTTTTTTACTTTGATCTACTGTTGACTAAAACTCTTGGCAAGTAGGCAAGACAATAACACCACTATTACACCTCTGAAGTAATGATACTGAACCAACAGGTATTCCTCTGGCACACCTAAACTCAATTATTTCATCATGAGTGAAATATGTACTGCCATTATATTTAACGGTAATATTATGTTGTTTATTGTCGTCTTCATTCACGGTACAGGGTTCTGCAAGAGACAATCAACATAGCATTTGGATAAGGGCAGGAATGACTAAAGCATACTGCATTCACAACTTTTGCCAATGTTGGGCAATAGTTGAGCGATTTAGAGGGCTAGTTGGTGAGCTAAAATAATTGGAGAGCTGATTGCTTACATGCCAGCCAGCAGGCCCAGCACAAGTAATTCAAACTAACTCTCTGACCTTATTTCTATTTACTCTGTGCTGTGCCATTCACTCTCCCCCTGGAATTATATAAATATACATAAATACTTACATAAATATAGCCCTCTGTTAGCTTGGGAGCTTAGCTTGGTTGCTAATGTGACAATAAGCTGACAGTTTATTTGAGACACATTGCCTCTTGGCACCTAACTGTTTACAAACCATTCCTCTTTTGTTGAACAGTTTAAACTCTGGCAGAGGAGGTTAAATAAAAGGGCCACACAGCTCAAATGCTAAAACAGCTTTCCATATTTCGTACTCTGTTATTGCCATGAACGTAGGTCAGGCACAAATGACATGTTGCATAAATGGATTTCATCAATTAGGTTTCCAATCAAATTACAACATGCAACGACTCTAACCATTTTAAAATGAAGTTTGATTTTCACTTTTCAATATTGCACATGTTATTAAAAGAAGAACCTGTAACTTACGGATGCATCTCGTGTGTCCAGTCCATACACCATTGACGCAGGTTTTGTAAGGCTCTCCCTCCATGGTGTAGTATGCCTGGCACATGTATTCAACCATATCATTATGGCTGTTATTACTTTTCCTGGTGTACTTGAGGTCTCCATCGGCAATGATTGGTGCTGTGCCACAACCTAGAACTTCTAAAAAGTATATCATACAGTTCAGGTACTGGATTGTAGAAGTGACAACCATTCTCAAACATAAATATACTCTATATTTGTATGTACTGTAGACTAAAAGATAAGCACAGGAATTACAATATATATAATGATATGTAGTTTTAGTGGGGATGATCCCTTTTTATTTTGGCCTAATACCAATATGTGAGCCTTGAGTGTGAGAGGCTGCATGTGTTTAAAAGAGTATTCATAGTGTTCAGTCATGTGACCAGAGCAGAAACCCTGGCAACACCATAGAGCTACAGCAAAGGTGTAAGCAAAAGGCTGGTTGTATCTATTTTTTAACTTCACAAAGCTCCCTGCAAAAATGCTGACTTACTGATAGTGTGCATCAAGGGATCACATTGAGTGTCCTTAAGCACTTTTGACAGAGTGGCAGACCAAAGCCCTCACTGACATTGTGGGAATGCGTCCAAAGTCTTACAATGTGCTATTACCAGTACTTTGCATAACTCTGTTTATATTACGTTCACAACATATTTATTGTTGAGTTCTTATATAACATATAGGAGACAAGCTCATGTTGCTGGACATGATGCCTGAGACATTCTAGTTTTCAATAGAAACATTTAAATGTTTTAAAGAATACAAATCCATGTGAGACTGCAACTTTTGAACATGCTGTCGACATGCTAACATGCTGAATTTAACCAGGCTAAATTAAGATAGTTGACCTGATACCTTTACAGCATGCTAGCATTGCAATTATCAGGATGATAACAAGATAGCATTGTTATTTAAATGAAAGCCAAAGCAAGGCTTTAGAGTGCAGTAAATCAAGAGAGGAGCTTCATTTATCATTTTCAAGTAAACAGGCGTGTGTTGAGGGGAGAGAAAAAGCATGAAGTAGAAATTGTTCAACAGTACACATTTTGAAACTGATGAAACAGGGTCATCGAAGTAGTTATGCAATTTAAAGTCACTGAAGATGTTATTTTTAGCTGTTAAGAGAACACGCTAAGACCATGCTAATTAAACACCCGAAGCCAATCCCTCTATAATTTTCCTTTAAGCTGTATTTGTTGTATGATTTGTTGTTTGACTTTACCTGAACAGCTCTGAATCCCATTCCAACCATTTTCTTCACAGGTAATAGTAACAATTATTTCAACGTTGTTCTTGCATGCATATCGGATGCGATCATTTAGGCTGTAACTTTCCCTTACAACGCCGATAAAGTTTGCACCGTCGATGTGAGGTTTCTTGCAGTGACTTTCTGAAACAAATTCAATGAATATTTGAAGTTATTCACACATCCTCCAGCTATTCAGGTTACATTAAAACATAATCAAACAAACCATTTCAAAAATGATGTCTTCAAGAAAAAAGAAAAGAAAATGCCTTTGTTGATCCCCAAAGTCAGTTGTTGAGGCAACACAAAGAAAGATAGGGACAGCTCAAATAAATAGACATGAATGAAACCACAATATGAATAGAAGTAAAAATAGAAACTATATAATAGAGTTTAAAGACAAGGTCAGAAAGTAAGGTGCCTCCCCTTTTACTCTTTAAGTGATCAATTTCTTGATGATCTACTGAACAGCAAGCCTGTTACAAATAAATCAAGTTCTTAATGTGTGTTTTAAGCATTAAAAAATACGTTTTTATTGTTCAACAGTACACATTTTGAAACTGATGAAACAGGGTCATCGAAGTAGTTATGCAATTTAAAGTCACTGAAGATGTTATTTTTTAGCTGTTAAGAGAACACGCTAAGACCATGCTAATTAAACACCCGAAGCCAATCCCTCTATAATTTTCCTTTAAGCTGTATTTGTTGAATGATTTGTTGTTTGACTTTACCTGAACAGCTCTGAATCCCATTCCAACCATTTTCTTCACAGGTAATAGGAACAATTATTTCAACGTTGTTCTTGCATGCATATCGGATGCGATCATTTAGGCTGTAACTTTCCCTTACAACGCCGATTTAGGTAGGGTGCAGTGGGAAAACATACATCAAGTGCCTCAAGTGTCAGATGTATCTCTGCATTTCAAAAAAGGATGGAGTACTACAAATGAGGGCTCAATATTTGTTGCATTGAGTTGTTGTGCTCTAATGTGGTCTAAATGTACTTAATGTTGTTACTATGCTTCGCATAACTAACACCCGATGTCCTCTACAAAGGACACTCAATGTTAGTCATGATGTTTATACCACCCTAAAGACTTGTGTGATCAAAAGAAAAAAGCATGTGTAAGCAATTGAATTTTTTTTTTGAATGTTTGCTGCCGACGACTGTCCCATGAAGACACATGTGGGACTCCTTGTGTGCTGCACGTAACCTCTAGAATAAGAAAATGTTTTGTAAATCTCAAGTAATCGAGACATGATTGATAACCATCATCACAGCTTATGAAATATAAAAAAATAAAACAGCATTCACAGCAGTTTCATACCTTGGCATAGAGGTCTGATAGTCCACTCTCCGCCCTCTTTGCATGTAGTTACGACTGAGGTCGGTTGATGCCTAGAAATCCAGTACTTGTCTTCACAAGTTACTGTCACTTGGTCACCAGGTAGAAACGTGTTTCTATAAGCAGGTTCATAGCTGGTTCCTTTCAGCCCTGGCAGTTGTAGTTTACATGTTATTGCTGTATTTGTTGAAAAATAAACACATTATCCGTCAGAACCTATATTTATTGGGAAGTGTCACCAGTACACTGCATTACTCAGTTTTTACTTACATTCACACAGAGGTGTGGGGCTCCATTCTGCTCTTACTCCTTGCTTTGTGCATTTTGAAGATCTGGCTTCAGCGCGTCTAAATGAGGGTTTACACTGAAACTCCAGGACTTGATTTTCTATGTACTCTTGGATTTGTCCAAGCACATCACCATTTTCAATCTCGGGTGCTGTACATATTATCTCTGTTGAATATACACAAGCAAGAATAAAGATTTCTGAAAGGTCACCTATTATGCAAAATCCACTTTTTCATGCATCTTATACATACACATGTGTCCCCTCTGCGTAAAGAGATTCTGAGAGTTTCAGGAAAAAAGATTTGCTCACTTTTTGTCCTGATCCATTTATATAAAAACCTGTCTGAAAATGAGCTGATCAGATTTCGGCCACTTTACAAGCCAATTACACAAGTTATTGGCTTGTGTAACCATTAGCCTATAACCAACCAAGGTAACCCCCCCCCCCCTTATCACCTGAATCTCCTCTAGAGCACCATTGTGTTCTTTTTAACCAAATATCTCTCAGAGGGGCGTGGGGAGTGGCTCCTTATTTTCATCTAAAGTAACAGACAGAGAATCAGCACTTTTGAAACAGGGCTGAAACAGAGGGGTTTATGGGATGCTACAATGCATGATCTGTTTGGTGTTTGGAGCCAAACACTTCAGAGACATGTTTTGTATATGACTGAGAACTATAATATATTGATGAAAAACAGTATAATAGGGGACCTTTAAGGAAAAGGCAAATGAAAAAGCCATAGTGTGGAATGCGCCTTGAACAGGGGGGCGTGGTGGTATTAAATATTTTGCTTTTTTTACATTTTACATGGTGGTCATTATGTGCTTTTTGTTATGTTGGTGTTCTTGACAGGGTGATTAATAGTGTATGTGTGTCTGTCTACCTCTTTCCCTCTATTTTCAAATACAAATGTTTACTTTCAACAAAATATTTGTGTTTCTGCACATATCTCTGTCCTGCAGAACTATCTACATACAGAACAAAGTCCATAAGAAATTAGTGTGCTTTTGATTGAGCACCAGAGTTTGAAGTTGGTTGGAAAAAGTGTCTCGTATTTTAAATGAAGTGTGTGCCATTTGGTGCACACTTCAAGTGTTTATCCTCCAGAGACCCACCCATTCATTTTTGTCCTCTGTGGAGCACATTGGGTTTTAGTCCATTACTTTGAGCTTATACATGCCACAGCATTAAGTCCAATTGTACTCCACAGAGGACATCCTGGGCTTTTCAAACATATGACATAATGTGGGGGTGTGGCTTTGAAAAAGATAATTTCATTGTATTTCAAAATGGCGTCCATCAACACAAGCACTATTTATAGAAAGAGAAATGGTAAGTTTGTAATTTTGTAATTACCAGTGTTGTGAGTTCAATATTTTTTTATTAATTATAGTAAGGGAACATCTTAGGAGTTAGTGTAGTGAGTTTTCAGAGCAGTGTCATACTTATTTGAGCTAAAACTAACTGTTTTTAGGAATGTCCTCTGAGGAGGACATGGGGATTTGCTAACTTCTTATTTCCCCCATTTTACACAACACAAATGGAGTCCACTATGGGCCAAAACTAACACTTAGGTTTCTGTAGGGTTCATGGCAGACGGATGCAGTGGGAAAACATACATCAAGTGCCTCAAGTGTCAGATGTATCTCTGCATTTCAAAAAAGGATGGAGTTCTACAAATGAGGGCTCAATATTTGTTGCATTGAGTTGTTGTGCTCTAATGTTGTCTAAATGTACTTGTATGTTAATGTTGTTACTATGCTTCGCATAACTAACACCCGATGTCCTCTACAAAGGACACACAATAAAACCAAAATAAAAATATATTTGTTTAGTTTTTGTTAGTCATGATGTTTATACCACCCTAAAGACTTGTGCGATCAAAAGAAAAAAGCATGTGTAAGCAATTGAAAACAAAATAAGTAAATTCCTGACTGTTCCTGTGCTTAGCTGCATTTAGTTCATGGGACTCTTTTTTTTAAAAGTAGCCTTTACAGTAAACAATATAGTATATAGTAAAAACTCCCCCCCTATAGCCAAGTATGGAAACAAAATAACAGATATCTTATAAACATAAGGTTTACTTCACAATACCTTCACAAAGTGGATTTGGTTGCCATCCATCTCGGGTGCATGTGGCCCTGCTGGCGCCATCTTTCCTCCTGTAGCCTGTCTCACACCCGTAACGTGTCGTCTCACCCGATTTGAATGTTTGCTGCCGACGACTGTCCCATGAAGACACATGTGGGACTCCTTGTTTGCTGCACGTAACCTCTAGAATAAGAAAATGTTTTGTAAATCTCAAGTAATCGAGACATGATTGATAACCATCATCACAGCTTATGAAATATAAAAAATAAAACAGCATTCACAGCAGTATATACCTTGGCATAGAGGTCTGATAGTCCACTCTCCGTCCTCTTTGCATGTAGTTACGACTGAAGTCGGTTGATGCCCAAAAATCCAGTACTTGTCTTCACAAGTTACTGTCACTTGGTCACCAGGTAGAAACGTGTTTCTATAAGCAGGTTCATAGCTGGTTCCTTTCAGCCCTGGCAGTTGTAGTTTACATGTTATTGCTGTATTTGTTGAAAAATAAACACATTATCCGTCAGAACCTATATTTATTGGTAAGTGTCACCAGTACACTGCATTACTCAGTTTTTACTTACGTTCACACAGAGGTGTGGGGCTCCCAACAAACATTACCCCAACACATTTTAAATGTAGTGTTTTTAAAAATAATTTAGGGAATGAAACAGAAATAAACAGAATGAAAATTTCCCTTGAATTTTCAGTTAAACTGTAAATAATAATAGTTAAAATAAAGTGAAACAAACCATTTAGAAATGAATACTAGTCTCCAATAAAGAAAAATAAGATCACCCTTTAATGAGCAAAGATTCAGTTTTTGGGTGCTGAACATATTATCTTTGTTGCATAATACACATAAGCAAGAATACAAATGTATTTAGGAAAAGGCTAATTAAAAAGCCGTAGTGTGGATGCAGCCTGTAACAATGGGGTGTGGGAGGGCATGGTGGCATAACATCTGTTGCTGTTTTTTAACTGCAGGTTCATAGCTGGTTCCTTCCAGTGGTGGCAGATATAGTTTACATTTTATTGTTGCACTGTCCGTCACAGCACCAGTTTTCAGTGGTTTGTCTGATATAACAAGTCAATTGAAGTTACTCAGTTCACACATAGGTTCACATTAAGTCCTGGATATGGTTTTATTCATATATAGAGAAACAGAGGGATTCATAAATAATTCCCCCTCTTGCTTACCTTCCTGTTGTAAAGACGTATCCATTTTAAGGCATAGTATAAAGAACCCAAGAAAGTAAAAAGATGTCATTGTGAGGATCCAGGAATAGCTGTGCTTCTGTAATTACTTAAATCGAGTCTTTCTACACAGTGGAAAGCACAAACAATTGAATGAAACTGTCTCAGGAACACGAGTACCTCCCCCTTACAACACGCACGCACGCAGGCACACGAACACACACACGCACACACGCACACACGCACACACGCACACACACACACACACACACACACACACACACACACACACACACACACACACACACACACACACACACACACACACACACACACACACACACACACACACGCACACACACACACACACACACACACACACACACCCACACACACACACACACACACACACACACACACCACACACACACACACACACACACACACACTCTCTCTCTCTCTCCCTATATATATGTTATTTGTATTATAAAACAACCCTGATATGGAAATAGTTTTTTCCACCGTATTTTGCAGTATTGGAAAAATAAGTATTTCATACATTTCAGCATGCAAACAATGATTTACGTGCAGGTTATATGAGTAAGTATAACAAATAAAATATAAAAAGTTTGTTCTCTTTCAGTTATTTAAAGAAGTCCACGAATTTGAGGACGACAGTCTGACCAGGGTTTAGAATAACTTGTCCTCCCCTTTTACCTTCTATAGGCTTATACAGTAATGATGTCTCTCTAAGGGGTCCCAACAAAGACCCATATCCCTCCAGTTCTCATAAATGTACACTGGCTTCCTGTCTGTGGAATAATATATTTCAAAATTACAACTTTTGGAGTATAAAGCACTGAATTGTGCAGATTACAGTAGCATGAACTGTTCTACAAATGTTGTCAATCTCTTTCCTCTGGTTTATCATTAACATGTTTGTCCAGCAAGCTCATGTCACTTCCAGTTAGCTCAATCGTTTACTGGCAGAGAGCAGGGTCATCACACCTTCAAAACATCGAACCGATCTCAATGTACCAAAGGGTATTCGTTTGACAGAGAGGGGCAGTGGTATAAAGTTACTAAGTAGATTTACTAAAGTACTGTACTTTAGTACAATTTTGGGTATTTCTGCTTTACTTGAGTATTTCAATGTTTTGCTACTTCTTACATCCACTGCTCTACAATTCAGAGGTATATTGTATACTTTGACTCAACTACATTTATTTAATACCTTCAGTTACTTTGCAGATATGGATTAATGATGTGAAATATAATTCACACTTAAATCAGACTTTAGTTACACCTGGAGTACATTCACAAGCTACCCTGCAGTATACAGAAATAATTAAAACTAGCTGCACCTTTACCAGCTTTGATAAACACTTTAATACATCAATAATTATAGTCAAATCATATAATATATATTATCTGAAAAGGGCCAGTTTGCATAATAAGTACTTTTTTGATGGTACTTCTACTTTTACTCAAGTACAAGATCTGAGTACTTCTCCCACATCTGCACAGGGGGCATTTGAAATAAAAAAACTGTTTGCAAGCAAGGTACATACTTTGAAATACTTATAATACTAGAAAGTATTGTCATCATCTACTCAATGACATTCTTAGAGTTGGAAAATAAGATGGTAATCAGGAGTATTTACATATTTTCTCATAATACATATACAGTAAGGAAGGAAACAGACTGATTGAACGTGTATTTTTTATATATATGCTCAATTTTTGTGCTTTTATTTAGCATTCAAATGGTATTCAGCCAAATCAGGCCAGTCACTTTGAGTGAAATAACCCCTTCACTGGCAAGTGGGCAGGAGCATCACACCATCAACACATCTCATGTTCAATGTTCAATGTGCCGACAGGTCTTCCTCCTTCTTCTTTTGAAGTTTCAGGTTCCATATCTTCTCTTTTTATGGTGCTTATGTTGTATATCTTATTATACTACAGAAATTATGTCAACTTATAACATTATATAACAGTGTTTATGATCAGTATATATTAACAGTATATTGCAGTATATACTCACTGTATACCAGTACACATGTATAGTATATACAAGTATAAATGTACAGTATATAACAGTAGATTACGTGTATGGTGAAGACATGGCTTCAGTTAAGGTTTAATATGATCATAATGGTAACGTGTACCTCCAGCAGGTAAAGTGTACTTCTTGAAACTCCTTACCAGGACCATGATGTGTTACAGGCAGCAAGCCTAGTTTTTAATGAACATTACTCTTACTTTCAAAATGAACAAATTCAACTATAAAATATGTATTTGTCTATTTGTTGGGAAATGTAGCTCGGTAGATAGAAAATAGTTCCTACATGAAACTGCTCACAACCATGACTGCGGATTATTTTGATTTCTGGAAATCAACACTGCTTTTAAATTCTACATCTAAAACGTATCTATTTGAGGCTATGAGCAACACAAGCCGAGTGGCATCGAGTGCCATTATATTCAAGAAGAAGCAGACATCTCTACGGCACACCAAAACAATACAGACTGATAAAGTGCATTACAGGAGCGAAGAGAAATATGTATTTCTGTTTTCTGGGGAACTGCTGCTTAAAAACTGTTGAAGAAGCATTCATGGAAAATTATCTTTATGTTTAAGGAAAATCATTATTAGGAAACTTGGCCCAGTTTGGTTATTTATTGTGTATTAATATTTTGGATATCATCTTTTTCCTCTTCATGAAAGATAAAGAGTTCCTCTGAAAAATAGAGGGAGAAATCTGACCAAGTCAACATATTTGTTTTATTAGAATGACCACACAGAGCACTGGGTTACACACCC